AAACTTGACAACCCTTAGATGGGCGTTTACATCTGATGTCTAACTCCACAGTAATGCGTTTTCACTGCATAAAAAGCGTGAACTGAACTGGAGAGCATTTGTTTTGTGTATAAATGCTTAACCTCTAGTCTACTGAGTCAGTATCCAATAGCGTTAATGTCTAACTTCTGTCGATCCACAATATTGCTTGAACTTAAGTAAAAGTCTTCACTGAGTAACTGTCTCACAAATTGACACGGTTGAACTCCGATGGACATGAATTCACACTAAAATTCAGATAATTCACTAGTTAGCAGTTCACACATGACAATGATCAGTACTAAGTTGTGGAGATAGTTATATATTGAAAAACGTTTATTGAGTAACATTTCAACCCAATGATGGAAAACACGTTTAAAAATATTATAACATTAAACTGCTTCAACCAACGAATGTGAATAATTCACTGACTTATATGATTGCTTTTTCTTACAATGTCGATTGTTAAACTATGTGAAAAACAGTGAGAATAGACATCATTTCAAGTATAAAATTTTACTTAAAGTTCAGTAAACGTAAAAAGAAATGATGAAAAAAACTTTAAAAGCTTATTATATACACTGCGGTACACATTAAATTAGTTACATAATGAAAAGTGAATATTCAATATGTATATATATATATATATATATATATATATATATATATATATATATAAGTGGCTTAACGTTGTTTTGATACCGTATAATATAATGTCAATAGAAAAAATAGATAGAAATATATATTCAGACTTCGAAAGACCATTATGGTCAAAAATATGAAGAATTAGAAATCCCACGGGAATTTACTCACTGAGAGTTATTTTTTTTGAAAATATATGTAAAGATGAATTGATTCTATGTAAATAATTATGCAAATTTTCGTTAATGCTGTAATTTCATTAAATGAAAATCATCAAATACTTTCAAAATATCCAATTGGCTTTACAGTCTTTATTTTTATTTTCTAATAGTGAATCGATTGGTTTGATTCGTTTGCCGACATTTGCTTGATTATTTACATGTTGCTTTTTTTTTAATTAGCGTAATCAATGTGAATGTCAACACTTTTAATAGTGAACTTCAATCTTATTTTATGAAATCAAAATATTTAGTTTTCAACTATGCATCAACTTTATCACAACTTTTAGTGTAGCAATTTCTTTTTGCATCATTTTAAATAAGAGATAGAGAGAGAGAGAGAAAGAAAAAGAGAAGAGCAAATTTATGATGTTTTTACAAAAATTCACCGACAATTGTTGTATGATGATGTATTTTACCGTTAGTGTTTGTGTTTGTGTTGTTAGCATAACAGTGATATTGGGTTTCTGAATTTAAAAACAAGAAATGATAAGAGATGTCTCTGACATTGAACGATTAAATAAAGAATAGTTGATTTTTGTCTAAATTTGTGTTGTGAATAGAAACTGATTGTTGATCCAAATGGAAAGAAAGGAGAACTAGACAACAATAATCAGTAATGATTTTATCAGAGATCATACTCAAGGTTCTCACGTTTCTTCGTATAACCGTTACTTTTGAACTGTTTAACTGGAAATCATTATTTCAATTTTTACTTTTCTTTTCATTTTTTCAGTGTAGAGGGGCATTCTATTGAAATTAATGCGATACTTCTACATATCCAACTTAAGAATAATGTTATTTGACGACATGATGGTTACTAGTTAGTAATGGATTGATGTTGATCAATGCACTAATAAGGATAAACTACTTTCTATCATTTTACGTTTCCGTCACTGATATTTAATAATAATCAATCTTTGTTTTGCTAAACGTAAAATAAGTCGTTAACCCTACTTTGATTGTTGTGATTCATGCTATTGTTAATTATTTCACACTTTTTCACACATCCGCAGTTAGTAGCAAGATATGATGACTATAGAAAAATCATCATGATTTTATAGTGATTATTACCACATTCATAATCTTCCAAGTTATACTTTTATTCCTCAATGAAACATATAAACTTTTTGTTTTTTTAAACACTAAGATTCTTTTGACTTTTGTATATTTATGCTTCTATTTGAACGTAAAGTCATAATTGAACTGTCATCTAATGAAGTAATGTATGCAAAAATTTATTGACTTCGTGAATTAATTTACGCTGGTTCCTGAACATTTAAAACGCAATTATTTCTCATTTATTATTTACTGCAAACTGACAACAGCTTTAAGATCACTAGAAACCGAATGCACCGAACATTTGCTTCAATGCAGTACTTTTTGATGGACATGTCAATGCACCATGTCATCTAATATTATTTTCGTTTACTTCATGTTTGTTTCCAAATATGTAAAATGAATTTGAGACTAGTAAACTCAGTAAATGAAACAATTTAATTTATTCATCGATCATGGTTTCGAATTCTCTGACCAAAATGTAGGATCTTTATTCACGACACAAAATATTTTTGGCTTAGGTGGAAGGAAAATCAGTGAAAACAACAGCTATTCAGAACTTCTATTTAAACTGCCAGCATTTTTTAATAGTCATATGTTTACGTACATAATTCAATCCGGTAACTCTGAAACTCCTTAATCTGATAAATAAACTTTTAGGAAAATTAAATTGTCAGTAACACTAAGAAAATTATCGTCGAGTTTTAAATAATTAGGATACTCTAGAGTTTTAATGAATATATGGTATAAACTCTAATGACCAATGTTTCCGTTTTAATATAGTAAAGTTAAGGTGAGAAAAACTGTTCATCTAATTACATGAAATCGATAATGACTAAATATAGTTAGTTGACTGAACCTGTTGGAAACAGAATAATGCAATATTGGATAAAAATAAAAGATACTTACGTAAAACTGATTTTTAATGCAGTAGGAGATGATAACTATGTCCAAGTGACTAGAGTTGAATTAAAGTCCGAATTTGAGACCAAAGAGTGGTTAAGCGAAATTTCTAGATTTTAACTTAACGTTATTACCATTACTGTAAAACATGTAGATTTCAAGTTAGCGGTAAAAAATAAACAGTTTGTAATTGATCGTGCATCAAAATGTGATTATCACTTTAATACTAAATAGGATAAATCTAAGTTTGAGTCACTCATTTCATGAATAACCCCAAAATGCATTTAGTCATAGAATAATATTGTATTAGGTGCATCATTTTTAAGAAAAATCTTGTTAATTTTAAATAGTGAAAGAATTCAGTTACATAATTCTTACAATTTCACTAAATTATGTGTTTAATTTTACATTATTATTTCAAATAACTACAAAAGTGACGAGTATGCTCAGTTAGCGTTGCTTCGTTAATCGTTTAATAGCTAGCTCATAAATAACACAATAAAACAACTTTTTCATTGGTTCTTCGAGACCATCACGGTTTACAACAAGCTAATGATACTGATGATTAAGATATATATGGAATTTTTATTCTCAGAATTTTAATTATCTATTTTTAGGGTGACATACTATAAGCATAAGAGTCACTCAATTATTGATAACATTATCACAAATGAATTTAACGCTAACTATGTGGACGATTGCTTGTTTGCTGTATAAGTAAAGATACTTTTCATTGTAAAAAGAAACTGTTTCAATACTATAATTTGATAAGTTTCATTTTCTTGATTCTTGATACTTTAAATAAATGATATTTTGTTAGTTACCAAACTATTGAAATTTACATAACTAGATTAAATTAGACTTGAACTTGTAATACGTGTCGATGAATATATGAATATATCTAATTAACCCTACATGTTACCGAAGACGTTGAAAAAAATAAACGACAGAATCTTAGTTCCGAACTACTCCTTTATATTTGAATGAACTTTAGGAGTAAGTCATAGATGAAAAATGTTCTTGTCACGTAATGACTTCAACCGTAAAATTGTAGGGTAAATTTATTTGAAAACTTTCAATTTTCCCAAAATATACTTACTCCTTTTTTCCCAACGAAACGAAATATGACAATGGAAAATATATTATTATATTCAAAGGATATTCACAAGTTTATTTGGTTATCTGTAGATAGGGCAGTTTCATTAAGGTCATGTTACGTTTGTGTGAACTTGATTTTTACCGACATTATTTGTATGTAAGGAAACTGGTTTCATGATGCCATTAAATGTACGGTCACTTATAATTAACTTTGTCCAATTTCAATTTATTGATAGTTGAAGTCATAATATAATTATGAAATATTATAAGATGAAAATAATATTCGTAATAATAATAATATTTGTTGCTCTGTCACAGTCATAAAAAATCGTCTATTTGTAACTAATTTTATCTCAAAATCAAAGCAGTTACTAATTCATCAAACTTTAAGTACAATTCAAATAATTAGATCGTATCGTCGACCATGTATGTTCTTAAACATATGGAAGAGCCATCAAAATTTATAAACTGAGTAGTCTGCATCTAGATGGTCGCCAAAACAAATTAACTAGGGTATTCTAATAAACGGAAGCAACAGAGATCCATTTTTGTACTTAGAATGCGTTACAAGATTCATCCAATGGGGATTTATATGGAAGTATATTCCCAAAAACCTCATTCTCACAGAAGACTAAGATTGATTTAAAGTTGAAAACTGTTTGTAATTACGTTAAACCTGGCCTTTCTTGAATAAACTTTATTACTCCATGAAAAATGTTATGGTTCTAGGTCTTTCTCCATTGGTCTCTTATTTCTCATATGTACAGCTCATATATATTTTTAGTATTTAACGTAGGATCAAAAATTTTAGAAATTATGAAATAGTTTATTGAAAGAATCCAGGAACTTTGTTATCTGGTTTTCGCTTTGAGTCTCATAATTTTTGGGGAATCTTTCTACCAAATTATTGACTACCCTTGATATTTACATTATCATCCCAAGTAAGAGAGCCTTAGATCAAAGCCATATTTTTGTTTAGTGCTTCAAATGATAGACTTTACTTTTGTAACTGCTAGTTTACTGACCACAAGCAAAGCTTGGAAAACAAATCAATCAACTCACTTCACTGTCTTCTGCACCCAATGTATGACATGGAAGATAAGCATTTTCACCAGTTTCATAAGTTAATACCATTTTGCTCATTTTCTGTTTATGACTGAAAGGATGAAATAAATTTATTTGAGTATTATGATATAATTTTCGTATATCTGCATTGGGAAATTTCTTCATCATCTCATAAAGTGGATATGGATTTAATATACATGGGATTTCTTGTCTGCCATCTGTATTGAAACAACAATCTCTGTGTACTTCATATCCATTTAATGCCTTCATCATGGATGTTTTGTTTGATAAATAGTAAACAGATAAATTATTAGAATAATGGTGAAGTTTAGGAAAACCATCGTTATGAGATTCAATTTTAGGATGCTTAACGTGTGATTGGCTTGTAAAAGTAGTATTTGAATTAGTGTTCAGTAAAACTTGTCTTGTTTCAGATTTTGGTGTTGACTGTAAGTGTTCGAATTTTGTAAGTCTTTGTTGTTCTGTAGTTTGAAATTGTTTGTCAGCTTGATAGTTACTTTTTTGTTGTTGATTTCGATGTTGACTGTGATCTTGTAATTGATGATGCCGACTTCCATGTAACAATGGGAGATTAAATATCAAATAAGGTATGAATTCCATAATCTTGTATAACATTATTTCTTTTTGTAAATCTTGAGTAAGAAAAATAGTGAAAAACCACAAAAAAACAATTATTTATTAATTTGACAATGTTCAATCAAACTTTAATAACTTTTGTTTACAATTATTTTTTTAGAGAAATTCAAATATTTTCCCAAATTCTAATTTCATTCAGACTGCATTAAGAATTGTTATAACATGTCAGTGGTTTTAGTTCTGTTTCACTTCACGTATCTTAGAATACAAAAGTCCTGCTTTTTCTCTGAACATCAGTCACTAATTGGCATTCATTTAGCGTATATATATGTATACATACTTCTCAATGTTTCTTTTAATCAAGTTTTATTGCGATAAATATTTGTCTTAATTTTATTTCAAATTTCTAGCAGTCTATTAATCAAAATAGTTAGAATTAAGACATTCTCACTACTATTTTAATCAAAATATTGAATGAGAATAATTTAATTAGGTTAATAGTACATTTCACAACAGGTTGAGATGGATTATTCGGTAATATAGGTTTTTTAGACATTTCTTCGAATTAAATGTATTTTCAGCACAAGTAAAATAGATATTTTTTGAATCCTAGCTTAGTACTGTTTCGTAGAGTGCAATCACAAATTAACGTGAAATGAAATGTGATAATAAAGCAGCGACTCATCGAAATGTAAAGATTAAATTGGATAACGGATTCACTTAGGACCTAAAGTTATACGTCCTTTTGCGATAATTTCTGTTCCGAAGTTAGTCATTAGTACACATTTATGAATGAAACAGTTTTTCTGTTATCTGTGATTTTCCAAATGAATAATTTTTTTGTCATTTTTGTATGTTAGCTCGTTTTCTAAATTTCATTCCTACTCCATATTAATAGAATTTTATACCTACTCGTACATATAATTTCCAAATATTCTTTGAGTTCATAACAATGACATTTATTGTTGTACATTGTCCATATATTTCTGTTTTTTTTCTCCTAGGCAATAATCATGTAATCTGAATAAACTATAAATTCTTATTTTAGGTGGAAATGTAGATATTATCTGTGAAATTTATTTATCAAATAACATGAATATTAAATAATTCAACCAAGCGTGACAAGTTACACCCAATGGTTACGAAAAAAATTTATCTTTAAACAAAACACTTATCTAAAGATTGTAATATTTTGAAGAATCGCTTGTTAGTATCATCTCGATCAGTAATACTACGGCAAGATAAAATGCTATTGTATTAAAGTTTTCCGCATACCGCCATTTTCGAACGTATAAAGATAAATGAGCCATTTTCAGTTATAACTATCGGTCCATAAAAGAAATGAATTTTGATTTCTAGAGATCATAACACGTACCCATATTCTTTAGAAGTACTAACATAAATTTTCTATAGTGCAGAAGAATGGATAAAGATTCTCATCTACATATATTTGGCTTATGTTAGTAGAGTCGGTTAAAATCTCGTTTAAATTACTGTGGCTTAGTTATAGTTCATTGATCCTTTAGAGCATAGTAATGATATAACACTAAAATGAATGAGGTTTTGACGTTTAAACCACTAGTAGCATAATAAAGTAGTGTGCGTTTCTAAATTCACCCAAATGCTTAGAAGCAACCAGTTTCGAGAGGAATTCTTGAAGTTAAAATGGAAAACCATGATTAGTGGAGTGTAATGAAGTTGGATGTAAGATAGGTACCCAAATAGTATTAGATGTGTAAGTTGAAAAAAAACACAAGTAAAAACAATGCATTTTCTATACCATTAGCTAGTATTATCAGTTATCTAAGTCTCTTTTATTCTATATCGATAATACTGTGATGATGAATTGAAGCGCAAGGCGTGCAAATACTGCAAATAAATATTTAAAATTTTCTTACTATTATGGTACAGATATCTTCATAGAAATGAAATGAGACAAAGTGCAAGAATATCCAATTAATCTACTACATTTGTAACTACTACTTCACTATACATTAGATTACATGGAAGAAGATCTCTCCATCTAGATCATTTCAGTAAGATCATGCATATACAGCGAAATAAATATTCAATAATTAAACTCAAAAACTAGTTATTGGCAGATTATATCATATGCCTTAATTATATAACATATCTACATCAAACTACATAATCTATACAATTAAATCAATGAGGTTTTTCTCTTATAAAATTGGAATTTACAACTGATCGTTATTCGTTAACTTTACAATTTGTTTTTCTTTCATTATTATTATACAATGTTCAGAGTTAATTGTGCCGAGTCGATCAGCTAACTACATGAATCCATTTATATCTTCAAAATTACAAATAATTCATTTGTGTTGTAAGACGGGAGGCAATTAAGGAAAAATAGATTCGAAAGCTAGTACCACAGAATGTACAAAACTGCCTATTTTCAAATGAATTATTTTTTTTGGTCTATAGGACAAAAAGGATTTGGAATGTGAAATATGTAATTAGATTCTGTACTTTTGTTAGTTTTTATGTGACTATTTTCATATACATGAAACCATGTTCAACACTTAATTCCAATATTTTTATATTTTTGCATTTACGCTATAGAGTTATTGTGGATCTAATGGAATAACTATTCAAATTAAATGATTATTTGGCCTGTTACTGTTCTCCGTAAAAAATCAATGTTGACAATAAGAGAGAGATAGGTAACTAAAAATACACTTTGTGTTCAAGGTTGACTCCTTGGCAATCAATCTAATTTTTACCAGACGCTGTGATAGTCATTCCTCTTACATCAGGATGAATAATTCATTTCGTTCGATTCAACATTGTCTATTATTTTAATCCATATGATTTTCACATAAACAATTTTAATTCAAATTGAAACTCATTTAATTTGAACATTCTTTACGATTAAACGATTCTTTAATTAAATAAACTATCTTTCATTGATATGCAATAAAATGTTCCTTAGAGAACAAATCCTAATCATAAAACAGATATTTGTTAATTGGTGATTTTCCTAGTAATATTATACACTAAATATTCAACAGCAGTATTTAATAGATCTATGGGTTTTAAATATAATAGTGGGCAAACAATCATGTCGGATAATTTCTCAAATCTGTTTTCTTGTATCTACAGATAAATCTGCAGACAAAATCGATTGTCTATTTCCCTTGTAGATAAATACACATAGTTTCAATACAACCGGCATGAAATAATAATGGAGTGTTTTAAAGTAGTTATGCTGTGAAAATAAACTAGATTTAAAATAAACTGAGCTAACTTCTTTTTAATGAAGAAATTGGAAAGAGACAATAGTTTACTTTGATCATGCGATCATACATAAGTTTTGTCTGTATTAACTATTAGATAAATGATATCTAAATAGCTTTTGAACTACGTTGATAATCCTAAAAGTCCGGACATTAAATGAAAGTAGCTGACAGAAAACTATAGATATATTTTCTAGACTGATCAGAACTTGTCTACAAGCCGTGCTTGTAATTTTAAGAGAAATGATCTTAGGCGTGACCCATGCCGGCCAGCAAAATTCTAGGTTCAGACTGACTACCTCAAACTAATAAAAAATTTGTACATAGAACATATTAAATCGACTTTTCAATCTGTAGGATGATTGTTTGAATTCATCCAGATTTAGGAGGAGTAGAAAAACAAAGCACTGGTCACTAATCAATGATCAATTAATATTAGGGAGAGTGATGTATTGGTAACTATATTTTCTATATTGTAATCATTAATTTTGTCTATCAGTTGATTTTACACAGTGGCTGATACAACAACTTAATATGAAAGGAGAAACAAGCCTAATTGTTCAACAAGAATTTAAAACAAGTAACAAAATACATTGATTATCTATTGATTTAAATAAGCCGTACGTCATTCATAAATAATTTAAAACCTGATGTGAATGTATTTTGTTTGAAACTAACACACTTCATATCGACACAGTGAGGAGAGAATTAATTAACTAGATGAGAACTGAATTGATATTTCATCATGTCTAATTAAATTTTTTTCAAATTTTCATTTTCCACTAAGTGATTATCAACAAAAACTCTAAAGTAACGTTTACTTTCAAAAATCAACTAATTTATTAAGCATTGTCTGTTCTATGGAAACAAGCTGATAAACACATTCACAAACTCTAGTTGATGCATCTACGTAACATTCAAATGAAAATTCGTAATGAAATTTTGAAATGTGTTAATAAAAAGCATATGACAAGTTTTTAAATGATGTTTATAACTAGTCTGAACAACCGTATACGTAATGTATGAGAAACTAGAAATTTCGTATGTTTACGGTAAAAATTATGAGAAAATGGCGAACATTATTGGAGTAATCTTTTTTTTGTAAACATTCTTATTTCCCAGTAGTTGTAAGCATTTTTCACCACAGAAATTTATAAAAATCATTTATTTTAAGAGTGATCAGTTGCTGTGAACAAAGATAATGCAGAAGATACTGTGTATATTCAACTGCCTGCCCGTTTGAACAATCACGCTGATGTTAAAGGATGAGGTCAGTATCAAATATTATCATTTTTTTGAGGTGTTCTTTATTACTTCAAGTACAAATAGCATAACTTTATGAATTCACTAGAAAGATTAACTTATTCAAAAAAATAAGGTATTATTTAAAATATTCTAACAGTTTATGTTCATTTGTGAAAAGTTTTTTATGGTTGTAAGTAATTTTTATCAAAAAGTAATGTCAGCTGACAAACTACTCAAGAATCTGAAACGTTGAGCTAATAGCTACTCAAAATTCTTCCAGCTTTTAGAACTTTAGCCGTAAGTATTACTTTGTCACGAGTATTGCTTTGAAAGGAAAACGTATTTTCAAAATCTTTGTTAGCCATCTGTTCAATATGCTTATTTTGATAAAAAGGAATGATTACGCACAAAAGGGAAGACCTCTGATATTGTCTAAAATAAACTTCATGCCATAGATATTCATCTTAGAAGCCTGTGTAGTGTATAGAAACCTTTTAGCATTAGGTGAATCTGATGTTGGTTACTGTAGAAATTTATGCTGGAATAGGTTATAC